AGTATAAATTGGCCTTAAGGAGCCTGAGGCAAATGACCCTCTCTTTGATCTGATTAATTTATTGCCCTCTATAACGTTAAGCGCAAATCGCTGGAGCTCAGAGCTAATTGTTTTTTTATTGTTGTTTGATTAATTGTTTTATGTGTAATAAAAAAAAACTATGCCTACCTTTGTGTTTCATGAAAAAAAAAATGCATTTGTGAACCTGAAGGGATACGAGCTAAGCGGACTATAAATATCTCCGGTTGCTAGATAAACAGTCAGTCAAGTTATTATTTGTAAAAACTAGATTTAGCCTAATTAAAATATAAACTAATGTTTTATTTGGCAAGTGACCATGGTATAAGCGGGTTAATGCCCTTCGAGGTGTCCATTGTCAGGTTTTAATGGACTTCGGCGGAGGCAACCGTCCTCCGCTGCGCGTTGGCCGGTTTACGCCTCGCCGTCGTCCATTAAAACCTGACAATGGACACCTCGTCGGGCATTAACCCTTACTTAAAAGATAACAGGGTATCACTGTTTATTGCTGATTTTAAAGCTTACTGAACTTGAAATGATTTGGATATCTATAGTTCTACATAAATACACAACATAAGAATGGCCCCTCTGTAATAATTGTGGCCCCTCTTGTGCCCCCCAGTTGAAAAAATCCTAGAATCGCCCCTGATCGTAATTGAGAAATAATTTAACTGCTCTGGTCAACCGCTATAGAGTGAAAACTGGTGCCTGCAGTTTACAGCTTTCATAGACTGATGTGAGCATGTGTGATTGACAGTGAGTCGAGTCGTGTGTGTTTGTGTGGACCAAATAGCTCAATACGAGAGGCAATGAGAAACAAAAAGACATGTGAAATAAAATCACATAATGTTTTAAAGAAGATTGGTTTGATTAAAGTGTGTGTATGGTCTATGAAAAAATGTGGTTGTGTATTAAAAAATGTAATCAATTAAATCAAATGTTCAAAAGTTCAAGCTTTGTGTTTATTGTTTTTGAAGCTTTGTTCAATTTAGCCTACATTGTCAATCTTTTGACACAACAAAACAAATGGATAAATTATAAATTTAACTTTTTAAAAAACAATTAACATTTGTTTATAGTACTATATTGTCTTTTGTTAATAGGACAAAACATCATTCTTATCTTTTAAAGCCTATTTTATATGGGTAAATTGCCCTAATGTGGGACATTTTTTTTGCACATATTGCGACATTAAATATTTAACCAAAACTTTAAATCCACACCAAATACCATTTTAAAAACCCCAGTATGTGTCCATAATCCAATCAAAAGAGAAGAAATTATAAGAGAAATAATATACATAGCCTATTAGTGCTCTTATTACAAGTTGTCTGAGAAAATCTGCAGCTTCCTAATGTGGGACAGTTATCCCCCTAATGTGGGACACTGAAAAATCTATGATAAAATACCAAAAATCACATTGATACACGAAGAATTGTAAACCAAAGTTTTCATCCAGACGCTGATCACAGATGTGAGTATGCAATCTGCGGATGATGGAACTCCCGACGATCCATACGCGTGGTGCCATCTCAAAGAATTGTGCAATATTATGAAGCTGCAGACTCGGAGCCTGCATCTACAGTCCCCCACCGAGAGTCCCGCATTCTCAGACCCCTCGTTTTTTGAACACAGCGCCTCCTGCTGTTCAAAAGATCGAATAACACCCGCACACAGAGTACAGCGCACAATTATCCAAATGCAATTAAAAACAATAGGATGCAATATTACGGTCTCCAAATAAATTATCCAATAAATATTTGCGTTCCCTGCTTAATGCATGTGCAAAAAAAAAAAAAAAAAACTAATTGATGGAAGGGATACAATTAGCCTACAGATTGAATTATCTTCAGTAGGCTATGTGATATTATATTGCTACAATGTTTTTTTTTATATATTTATATTTTAATTACCTATAATTCAACCTATAGCCTAATGGTCTAATTAACATTACGATGCTAACATTACAAAATCTGTTTTTTGATATTTTAAATGCGAAGCAAAACAACCTATAATGTCTAATTAACCTATTATGGTCTAATTAACATTACGATGCTAACATTGCAAAATCTGTTTTTTGATATTTTGAATGCGAAGCAAAACAAATCAGAATAGACAAACACCATTAATAAACAATACTGTACTTTATTTAATGATCACCTAAACATCATCTTGCTGTCATCTAAGCATCATCTACCCTGCCTGGAATAGCCTACAACATAGGACCAATAGCACATGTCTTATGTTTCAAAGCTAAATAAATTATAAACGTTAGCTATCTAAATATTTTCGGGGGGAAGAGGGCGAAAAAAACATACATTAACGGCTCAAATCTTGTTACAAACTAACTTTACAAATATTCAATGGACTAATCATATGTTGTATCGATGCGCTAAATTAGTTTTATTAAAAAATAAATCAAACGAGTAGGCTACTACGATTCGCTAAATAAAATTGAAGATAGCTCACGTTTTGGCTTAAGTTCTTCACATGTTCTTCACATGTTTATCCGATACAATTTGATAGGAAGCCCTGTCTCGAAAAACGAGGGATCTGAGAATGGGGGACTCTGGGTGCAGGGGGACTGTAGATGCAGGTCTCCGAGTCTGCAGCTTCATACTACTCGAATTGTGAGAGAATGTGTTTGATTTCCACCATTATTTATTATGAGTTTTGCACGGTGATTGGCAAAGGGCGGCGCTGTTGCGTATTCTACAAGCCCCACCCAACAGCGCTTCAGACCGGTTCACACTCAATGAATTTATCTCACATTTGGAAAAGCGATTTCTTGAGAACAATTGTTTATGGGTTGTGACAATGTTTGTGATGTGGATGGTGTCTTTTAGACTTCCAATAAAAATAAGCTTACTCTGCCGTCTTTGAGGCAATAAAATAACGATCAGCACCACAAGGTCGAGCCAATGCAAGGCTCAAAATTAAACTGTTATAAATATTGAGATATAGCTATTTCTATAAGCTTAAACATAAAAACAAAAACAACAAATAGTTTAAATGTTTTACAATAGAATGTAGGATTGCAACTTATAACCACAACTAAAGTGTAGCTACTAAGTGTAGATTCTTGACTCTTGATTCCATTATAAGGTCTAGGAAATTACGTTTAAATTAAATAGGCTATGTAATGTAATTATTTTATGCAGGTAAAAAATATTTACATTTCTTTGATTGATATTTGAGACACCAATTAACCAAAAATAATTTGTCAATAAAACTTATTTGGCAATAAATATCTTTCTGATTAGGTTTTACAAAATATATTTAATTCGTGGTATGAAACAATTTTGAAGATATTTTTATTATTATTTTATTATTTATTTTAAAGGCAATTAAAAAATAGAACCATTTAGATTGTGAAAGTTAATTCACTATTTTGTGCATAGAAAATCTATAGCTAAAACAAATGTGTTCTAGCTATAATTTTGCTATTCACAAAATAGCTAAATAGTGAATTAACATTCACAATCTAAATGTTTATATTTTTACAAAGACTGTGAACTGTGAAGTACTGAATTGACAGTTTTGCTGTGTTCATGTTTTTATTTTTTTTGTAAACGGGGGCTCGATTACACACTGAAGCCACTGAGCCCCTAAAAATATGACTATCAGTTTGCCGCAGTAAGAACCTTTCTTTTACGATCTATGGTTAGAACATAGCATGAAGTTACAAACTCGTGTACAGTAGGTGGCGGTATGCACCTAAATTGGTTGCAATCCGACAATAATCAAAAGAAGAAGAAGATTGCCGAAGTGGAAGTTACTCAGCCCACAGTTTGCTTGCTAGCAAAGTCATCGACTACCGTCGTATAAGTAAGTATATGTTTCCTTTTTTTGTAACGCAATATTATGTTTACATTGGTTTTATTTTATCTTTTAAAAATATGCTAACTTAGTCATCTTTGTTCTTGCAGTACGCTGCTAGTCCTGTTGCTAGAGTGGTTAACGTTAGCAGCTAACACATGCTGTTTGTGTTTTGCCTTTGTTAGGACACGTTGCTAGTAACGTTACATGTAGAAATGTAATTAGCTACTTACATTAGTTAGCCAAAGCTTTACATCTAGATGGACTAAGTATAACTTGTATAATAATATATTATAATGTATAGGTTGTGTAAATTATTTTGTTTGTCTGAACTAGTATTTTGCTAGTTCAGTTCACAATGTAGCTAGCACGCTATAGTGGTTAATATTGGTACTCTTTGATCACTGCAGCAAGCTTTATGGAAAAGAACATGTGACATACAACATGCCTGGATTGGTTTGGTGCACCTCCTCAGACAAGATGCCAAAAATTATGGTGTCCTTGATAACATATGCTTCCCATTTGAAAACTTCCTTGGCATGGGTGTCTTAATAAACAATAGACAGTCATCGCTCAGTTATTGGCCCTTGGACTCCCCCGGCACCTCTTGTACAGCATGAAGTTTTCTGCTATGCTAGGCATATCTCATGTCCATCGTTTTAACAGTATTGAAAACAGTGCCTTTAGTTGTATTTAATTTTTTTTTTTTTTTTCAGATTTACAGAGACTCCAGAATGAAAAACAAACCCTAAGGGAAAGCAATGCACCAGTAGGTGAGAATATGCACTCTTTCTTAAATTTAACTTTTTTTTGTTTGTGATGTAGGTCCAAAATTACCATATGCCTTTCATTTTGTAGAGTCAGATGACAGCGGCTCACTTCGAGAGCAGGTGAAGCAAGTTGGGATAATGTTGAAGATGTTTGCTCACACTGGGCAATCAGGTACAACTTGCAAACAACTTAAGCGTTGGTTGTTGGTTTAATTCCCAACGGGGCCCATCTGTACATGTAGTAGACCTAGATATAACTGTCATAGTTTAGTAGTTGAGGGACCTGGACTGACTACTTTATTCTTTTATTCTGGGAACCCCAGTAGGTGCAGACGTCTTGGAGAGTTTGGGCGATGTTGTGCGTAGCATGGACAACAAAATGAACCCATGCTGCGTCATTTTGAGTTATCCCTGCCAGGGGATCTGTTACTCCCACTAGACACCCAGGAAGATTTGGCGTTACTTGACAACAGTATGTGGAAGGATAAAGAGCTCCATGTACAATTTGTAAGTGTTCTGATTTCGTTTATATCGCAATAGTGTTAAAAAAAAGTGTTTTTTTTTTCTTTCTAAAAAGTAAAATTAAGATTGTACACAGCATATTCTACAGTATGAATCCACACCCTGTTGCATTTTAAATTTATGAGAAGCTTCAGATAAATGTAATTTGTTACACTTTTTTTTCAGGGACCTAAAGACAACCGTGTGGTGAATGCTTCAGGGTATCTTCTCTAATCACCTTTCCATCAATATAACCTGGTCTGGTGTAGGTGATAAAGCATGTTTTAGAGACATGTTCCTGAAGACCATTGTTCAAAGTAAGTTGGATATTTTTTTTTTTTTATATTTAAGTAGATGTGTATGACTTTATGCCTTTCAAATGGAATGACAGATCTTTATTTTCTACAGGAGCCATCCGGAAGAACCCGGCGACCCAGGATGCCACTGATGAGGCGATCCAGGTTAACGTAACACATCACCTGAAAGGAGCATCTGACCGTACAGGTGGAAAAAGGCACCGCTGAGTGGGACCCACAGCCGACCCCTTAAACCTAGGCTGACTACTGACACCCCAGCATCACTTGACAACTGGAACCCTTTTTTTATCCTGCAGACAGTAACTTCAAGACATCTAAAAAAGGCTTATAGCTTGTAAATCCTAGATTATACATCTAATACTTGATTTCTGCACATTATCTGGTATCAAATATTCTACTTGCCGTGACTTTAGTATTGGCTTATTTCATTTCGTCAGTGCTTAACGATTCTACATGCTCTATGCACGAACCCTGCTGACGTATGTCCGAAAGAATCTCAGCCAGCTTCTTTACTTCCACAAGCGCATTCTGCAGGCAAAGTATATAGCGGCAAAACTTTAATAAAATTCATTTTCTTTCACTTTTCAATTCCTCACAGTGTTGTTAACATCATTATCGTTAACTGCAAGAATTTTTTGTAAACAGTGAGTGTAACTTGCCACTATCTCCACCTAATGTAAAACCGGCTTCTGACGCAGCACCGGATGTAACTGGGCGTCCTGAGACAAACCCGGAAGTGATCGTGCATAGAGCCTATTATAGTTTGCAAATCCTGCTTCATGCCTGATATTTGATATTGCACATTAACTAGTACCAAAAATTATACTTTCATTCCATCAGTGTGCTTAACTGTAAACTGTTATTATATTAAAAGTAGCTTGGAATACTATTTCATACCTCTGATACTTGAAATTGCACATTACCTGGTACCAAATATTCTACTTCATTCTGTCACAGTTCTTAACTCTTATTCTATTGTTAAATATAGCTTGTAAATCCTTGTGCCACAGGTCAGCATTGCAGTTATAATGGTATATTCTCAAATTATTTGGTGTCCTTCACTTTCTTTGGTACCAAATATCCTCGTTACTTGTGTTTACTGGTAATTTTCATCCCAGAGCTGAACTCTTTATGTTATTAGCAAGTATTGTAAATGTTATACAGTGTTAATTATATATATATATATATATATATATATATATATATATATATATATATATATATATATATATATATATATAGTGTTTTTTAACAAAAAACGTATTGGAAAGCTGTGTGTGTATTTGTATTTTTCTGTTATATTTCAGCGATCTGACATTGTTTAATGACAGTTACTGTACTTTCAAATGTGGAAATAAAATGTCAAATGAAAAATTGTCTGGTTTGAGCAATCATTATTCTTGATAAACTGCATGCTGTAAATATTAAATTAAATAAATAAATATATAGTGCAAGCGGTGGGCCGCGGTCAGCTCGCTCGAAAAGAGCGTTTGCCTCCGACGGGCCGCTGAAGGTCCGCCTTTGGTATAATGGCGGCGGGCCGTCCACGGAACGAAGGCAAAAGCGTCTGCCGCCGGCGGCCCGCCGTCAAACGTGTTTGCGATTACGCCTTTCTGACGGCGGCGCTCCGACTCATTGCTATCTGGGCTTAATCCCTACCACTGGCATTTGACTGTATTCCTGGAGACAAGCAACAAATCCTTAAAAAAACAAAACAAACATTTTTTCTACAACAATAAATCATGTAAACAATTATTTTTAAAATAGTATTTCAACATTTTTTTAAATACACTTTACATGCTAAAGAGATCAATGAGAATTTATTTGAACACTGACTATTGTTTAAATACTTCTGATGGTTTTGTAAACTCCCTGTTCTTCCAAGTTACTTTTTTCATGAACTAAATGTTGTCTCACTATCTCATCACATTTATTTTGAAGCAAACATTGAACATTGAGTTAGTGTGCATGGGTCTTGTAACTCTTGAAAGCGATTTTGATTAGATTTTTCTCTTTTTTGAATAGAAAATTATTTTAAAGCCAAGAGCTACATGGTAAGTGGAAGCTTAATGCTTAAAGGTCATGTAACTGCGGCATTGACCAAGTGAGGCGATAATGTTCGCATAGTTATTGCAACCTGTTCTCACGTAAATGTCTCTAAAGCATGCATTAACTCATTTTCGCATATGCATGACAAAAACACTGCTATAGAAACGCATTTAGTGCTCGCCTATGCAAATGTATCTTTTTGTATAGAGACAAAGAATGAGCTAATCACTGTCTGTCACCGGCAGTTGACTAGCTGTGTATTACACGTAAACAACAATGCATTAAAAGTTTGACTTTTTATTCTCATTAATAGCTTCTCCAAAGCTCCTCAACTTCAGTTAATAATAGTAAATAACTGTTAACAATTTACTACAAAACACTGATTATATATCTTTATAATACAAAAAGTGACACATAATGAGCCTGGGTTCTCCCAAGATTTTTTCTCCATCCAATCTGATGGAGTTTTGGTTGCCACTGTCGCTTTGCTTTTGGCTTGCTTAGTTGGGGTTATTTAATATTTAACAATATTATTGATCTGTGTTGTACTACTTTCATGTTATCACTGTGAAGCTGCTTTGATACAATCTGTATTGTGAAAAGCGCTATATAAATAAATGTGACTTGACTTGACATAATTAGACTTGAGTAACAATAAAAAGTCTTTATGTAGGAACAGAAAAGTAATAATTAAAAAAAAGTATTTGAAATAAAACAAAAGTCAAAGTAAAAATAAAACTACATTACAGAGTAACAACTGAATTTAAACATGTATTTTTTAAGCTGCTCATTTTAAATGAGGCGAACTGACAGAGAAATACGTGTGAAATATATTACTAATATATTTACTATATTAAATAGACTAATTTCATGCAAAGTGAGATATTTAAAGCTTTATTTGTTATAATTTTGATGATTATGGCTTACAGCTTATTAAAACCCCAAAGCAATTATTATTGTTTGGTATTGTACAGAAGTTAGGGAGACATTATGATGTAAAGGTTTTTTTATTTGTAAAATATTTAGAAAGTTAAAATTGCAATCAAAACAATAACACAAGGAAAATATATTAAACATAGGCTAAATTAAAAGTGTAAAAAAGAGCTAAGCCAGTTCCAAAAAAAGCAAACAAAACACAAATATAATATATAACTATTTAAAAACAGTGAATCCAGTTCAAAAAAAATAAAAAGCAAACAAAACACAAATATAATATAACTATTTAAAGACAGTGCACATTGATAAGTAAAGTGGGCTCATGCATCCTCGTCCTCCACTGGAAGAGCAGATTGTGTGATGTCATGTAGGTCTGTAAAAGAAAAAAGGAAATTAAAATAGTTTCTAACTGGAGGCACATAGGCCAATAAACAAAAACTGGAATGATATGAGCCACAGAAATTAGAATGTTTTACCATCTTTGCAAAAGTCTTTAGTTGAAATTAGCATGTCTGCATTTTCCACTGAAGCTGAATCTGTTTGTGTGGCGATGTGATTTAGGTCTGTGGAAAAAAAGGATGTTATCATTCAGGGACGTGCACAGGAATTTTGAGGGGCAGTTGCTCTGACCTGAAAAAAAGGGCACCCCCCCCCCTCCCCCCTCACGGGCTATATGAAGGAATATATTCAGTTGAATTTGTCCCCTTCCAAATTGCCTTATCTGGCCGTGTTTATTGTCCAAACGCAATGCCTCATCTTATGGTCTTATAATTATTTATAAAGATTGCAAAATGTCAGAGATGAGACAAATGAGCAAAAGAGTTCCTCATATTGTTGTTTATTGTTTTTTAAATTATTATTTATTTTTTTATTTATTTGAAAAGAAATAATCTGGATTGAATGGAAAAAACTCGGAAAAATAAAAAACGCTTAGATTTCGGGAAAAAATACAATTCTTTTTTGCCAATCCTGACCTCCCCCTGGGGCCCTAAGCAAAATTCTAAGGGGCCCTCTACCTGATCTGTGATGCCGTGAGCCATGTAAACCATTTGCCATTGCCACTCAATACCGCCCAATACAATCCTCCCTCCTTTAAACAAAACAGTCAAAGAATAAGTACAACAGTATAGAATAGAATGAGGTTCAAACAAACAATGTTTACTGAATAAAGCATTTTTATAGAATGTTAAGATAACAAGTGAATATTAACATAAACATAAACAAGAAGAAAATAATAAATTACAACCCTGAACTTTGGCTTTTGGGATTAAATTTGGTTCTCTCTAGCCAGGGTATTTTCGGAATCAGTAGCCTATGATTTTTATTTAATTTTTTTATGCATGTTGAAGCAAATCTTGATTTATGGTTATTTACTGAGGGATTTGCATTCGTATTGACCAGAATGTCCATCTAATCATCATTTTAAATTCAATATAGCCTATAAATCAATAGTCAATCAATGTCAAATTGCCAATACATTGGTTTATATCTTGCAATTAGTACAGTTGTTTAGAGTTTTTAACTACACTGACTGAGACTAGATAATCAGTGTCTTTATAATGTGTACTTTGATTGGGAGTGCCATATTGTACATTATTTCTCTGGTCTCCATATTTCTGCTTGCAAATGCGAGTTTCATTTCGTGCACGCGCATATGAACGCAACACACGCGACGCGGTTATGTTTTCCGAGCTGCAGTAAACAAAGACTGTTGTTGCACTTTGTCGTTTATCAAAAACAAAACGTAATAAATAATGGTATTTTACTCTCACTTTTGTCAGGCAAAAAGTGATGCAAGAGATGCACTGCCTGCCCAGACAAACCATCAAACTTTGCTGACACTAGAGATGAGAGAACACATTTACCTGACTGCTGTTACCGCAATTCACTCTCATGTTTTTCTTCTTCCTCTTTTCGTGACGAGAAGGATAGTTTTGCTTCATTTTGTCATGGACTTCGTACACATTAATTAGCGCGCGACACGAGATGGAGGCCTGAGTAATTTGCGGTGCCTTACCATACGCACCGGTCGCGTGCAGTCTATGGTCTCGTGGAAACAGTTTGACTTTCACTTTTTTTTTTTTTTGGAAGTGAATGAGGCTTTGCGATTTTTATTGTTTTTTTTTTTTTTGTCTAGGCCTACGTGAAATTCTACATCCATTGTACGATTTTTTTTTCCTCGGAAGGGCAACCTGAGTCGAGAAGGGCATATGGGCAGTTGCCCGGGCAACCTGAGCAACCCCCCTGTGCACGTCCCTGGGTTTTGACTAGACTAGAGTATAAAATTGTAGTAGAACACAAAATGCCTTACCATCTTTGCAAAAGTCTTTGGTCGCTGCTAAAAGCTCAGCTAATCCTTGAGCTTCTGAAAGTTTTGTTTTTGTTTTGTTGAGTTCTGTTCGAAGAGTTTGTATAGTGTGTTGAAGTGCAACTTGTTGCTTTTGCCACCCTGACATGGTCATTACATCAGTAGCAAGGGTGCAAAGTTGTTGACCCGTTTCTCTGGGGTTGACTGTGGGGTCATGGCACTTGTACTATTGAAAAAGCAAAGAATTAATGTTAAAAACGTTATGGTTTGTGTAACTGAAAATATTATAGTAGAAGTGAAAGCAAAATAATAAAAGCATAA